GCTACTTCACGGTCAGGGCGGCTAGGGTCTGGAACCAGCTTCCAAGTGAGGTGGTGCAGGCTCCCACCCTGGGGGTTTTTAAGAGGAGGTTGGATGACCACCTTACTGGGGTTGTTTGACCCCAGTACTCTTTTCTGCCATGGCAGGGGGTCAGACTAGATGATCTGCTGAGGTCCCTTCCGACCCTAGAAACTATGAAACTATGAAAAATGTTGATTACTGTTAGTGCTAGCTTGAGTTTGGAGCAGTCACACTTCAGGCCAGCAAGGGCCTAGAGGATTGTAAAGTAAAAATCTCTCCTCCCCTCCAATTCCAAGTTTGCTCCCAGGGCTCCCTCAGTTTACCATTGCCCATCAAAATTCCCTCCTGCCCCCATCTATTTGAGGCTGCTTGGCTGAGTGTCCCAAGGGAGCAGGCAGGAAAGGGTTAACATACCTGCCTAGTATGCTGCTGCTGCTGTCTGTGCAGACTCATCCCAGAGGCTCTAGGTAGAGCAGGAACCCAGATAGCAGCAGCAGCAGCAGCAGTGTACTGTTTCCCTGCCTGGTTAACCCTTCCTTGCCTGCTCCCCATGGACAGATAGCATGGGTACATAGTCCAGGGTTTAAAGCTCTAGGATCTGCCCAAAATTACTATGCAACAAGGCTCTAAGTTTTTCACCCATCTTAGCCACATAGGGCTTGCATTAAGCCTATGCATCATTTGAAGGCTTTCTAGTTGAAAACTTGTATTTGTAGAGCTTGCCAATTATTGCAGATGCTATGTTTTAGTGAGTTCTGAGAGCATTGCTTTGGGGACTTCAGCAAACTGGTATTGATCTCTCTGATCATCAGGGTCAGAGAGTAGTAATTAATGACTCAATGTCTAGTTGGCAGCTGGTATCAAAGTGGAGTGCCACAGAGGTCGGTCCTGGGGCTGATTTTGTTCAGTGTCTTCATCAGTGACCTGGAAGATGGCATAGAGTGCACCCTCAGCAAGTTTGCAGATGACACCAAGCTGGGGGGAGTAGTAGATATGCTGGAGGGTAGGGCTAGGATTCAGAGTGACCTAGACAAATTGGAGGATTGGGCCAAAAGAAATCTCATGAGGTTCAACAAGGACAAGTGCAAAGTCCTGCACTTAAGATGGAATAGTCCTATGCACCGGTACAGGCTGGGGGCTGACTGGCCGGGCAACATCTCTGCAGAGAACTGTCTGGGGGTTACAGTGGACAGTAAGCTGAATATGAGCTAGCAGTGTGACCTTATGGCCAAGAAGGCTAACAGCATACTGGACTGCATTGGTAGGTGTGTTGCCACCAGGTCAGGGGAAGTGATTCTTCCCCTCTGTTCAGCACCAGTGAGACCACAGCTGGTGTACTATGTTCCGTTTTGGGCCCTCCACTACAGAAGGGATGTGGAGAAATTGGAGAGCGTGCATCAGAGGAAAACAAAATGATTTGGGGGCTGGGGCACATACC